TTTATATTTAAAGAAGTCTTTGGGGATAAAAACTGATAACAAAACTGATTGCTGGAGATTAAAAAAGTGTCTTTAATGGCTTGAAGCAATCAGGCTATGAATGGAACCGTGCATAGTGAAGGAATTAACAAAGATAGGTTTTGTAGCTGGCATGGCTGATCCATGTTTATTCAAAAAGGAAAGTGATGGTGTAGTTTCATTCTTGCTATTGTTCATTGATGACAGCATTAATCACTAACACTGAGCAAGAAGCTACTGGGATTATTTCACTGTTAGAGAAGAAATTTAAAATCAAACATTTAGGTGAGATTAAACAGTATCTTGGTTTGAAAACAGATAAAACTAAGGGAGGCTACAAAATCTCACAGGCATATAAAATTAACCAGTTACTGAAGAACTTTAAAATGGAACTTTGTAAACTGGCTAAGACACCAATGAGCCAGGAGTTTAGCCACAGTGATGTGTAAAGTCCTGTTTTTGTTAAAGATGTTTATCAATCATTAATTGGTAGTTTATCATATCTTAGTAATTGGTCTAGGCCAGATATAGCATATAGTGTCAACCAATTAGCCAGGTTTAACGCTGAGCCAACTGAAAGGCAGTGGCAAGTTACTAAGCGTGTGTTGAAATATCTTAAACAATTCATTATGCATTATATTTGGAGCCTAAGGATGAACTAAGTTTAACTGCATATGCCGATGCAAGTTTTGCTACAGACATACCTACACATAAATCAACGTCAGGTACTGTAGTGTTATTAGAAAAGGTGTTAATTGGATGGCAGTCTATTTGACAAAAACATCTAAGCTTATCAACAATGAAGGCTGAATTCTCATGTTTGTCTCTATTATGTACGGACTTAGTATGTTATAAACAACTAATGATAGATGTGGGAAGTAATGTAAAGGAACCTATTGTTGTATATGAAGACAACCAATCAGCAATTCAGATGGCTTCCAATCTCACTGTAAAGACAAGATCAAAACACACCTATCTATAATTTCTGAATGTGAGACAATGTGTTCAAAGTAAAATGGTTAAACTGGAGTACTGCATGTCAGAGAATAACATTGCAGATCATTTTATGAAACCCCAAGGCACTGTAAAACATAAGGCTTGCTGTGGGGAATATGGACTTAAACTGTAAAGTTTTATATATTGTCCTACCCAAAGGGGAAAATGTTAGGAATGATAGTCACCTAAAAGTTGAGTTGGCAATATATAAACCAGGATAGTCATTTAATACTGTTGTATCTTTAAGAGAATGCTGTAATTGTGATTGGCTGAGGTTCCTCCAATGGCCATAAGATGGAGCAAGAAACCTGGTTTGTTTCCCTTTTGCCTGATCATCATTCTGCTTGAATTGCTGTGAGTCTTGCAACTGTTCACAAACTCTGTTTATTGAACTTCGTTTATGATACTGGTAAAGAAAAGGACTTATCCCTGGACTGATTGTTTTGAATTCTAACTGCTTTAACTGTGTATGATTTGGACTGTTTGTTGGACTTTGTTTACCCATTTACTGGAAGTAAAACTTACATTTTACTATTCTGTGTATCTGTGTGCTGGTTGTGTGGTATTCATCACCACTCTCACTATGTTTCCCTGAGTGCACTCATTTTCCTAATGGGAAATACCTCAACAGCGACTTGAGATTATGTGTGGACTTTAGGGGCATGAACGGTGTGTGAATAAAAATCATGTACCACCTCCCCCTCAATGAAGGACTTATTAAATCACCTGTCTAAAGGCAAGATATTTATCAAGCTAGATCTGAGAGAAGCCTACTACCAAGTTCGCATAAAGGTGAATGGAAAACTGCTTTCAACTGCCCTCTGGCTAGTTTCTAATTCCGAGTCATGCCTTTTGGACTCCAGTCCCACCCCCCACCCCCCGTGGTATTTATGTAACTAATCAATGAAGTGTTACATCCACACCTGTACAAAAGGGTCCTTGTCTACCTGGTGACATTCTTATATTCAGCAAAACCATAGAAGAACGTCAAATTGGTCAGGCAAGTACTGAAAATTCTTTTAGCCCCCAAGTTATATGTAAAGCTGTCAAAATGACATAACATAAAGAGTCATTGGATTATCTGGGCTACCGAGTCTCTAACCAGTGGATTGAGATGGACCCTGGAAAAGTGAAGGTGGTGCTAGACTGGCAACCCCCCCAAAACACGTAAACAACTTCAAAGCTTCTGGGGTTTTGCAAATTTCTATAGATAATTTATTCCTTTGTTTGCCGAGGTCGTCCTTCCTTTAGTAGAGTTACTCAAAACTGGGCCTTCCCCGACCAAACCAAAACCCAATCAACTTGGACAATGAACTGTCAGAAATCTTTTGAAACATTAAAATACCTATTTGCCGCTGAGCCTATCCTCCAGCATCTGGATCCAACCAAACCATTTATATTGAAAGCTGATGCTAGTGTTGTGGCTGTTGCAGCAATTCTTCTCCAGAAGAACTCTCAAGACCAGCTAATCCTGTGCTTATATGTCCAAAAAGTTGACAGACACAGAGCATAGGTGGGCAGTTTGGGAAAAAAAGGCGTTTGCTGTGCGATGGGCTTTACTATCTTGGAGGCATTTCCTGGAAGGAGTGAAGAAGCCTTTTGAGGTGTAGACTGACCATAAAACCTTGATGCTCTAAAAACACCTCAGAAGCTATCGCCTAAACAAGTCTGCTGAGCTCAATACTTCAAGAGATTAAACTTTAACATGAAATATATCTCAGGAGAGAAAAACATATTGGTGGATACACTGTTGAGAAAACTCCAATTTGACAGTCACTGGGAGGAGGTAGTGCAAACCATGACATCAGAAGCCCAACCTGCAGGCCAAGTAACCGCCCAAGCCCAAGCCAAACGCAGCCCCAGATGCCTAGAAGACAAACTGACAGCCGAGTTGAAAGCAGCACTTTTAACCGATCCATGGTTTGTTGAACATCAACTCAATTTGACAATGAATGAAGGATTGGCTTGGAAAGGAACAAAGATTTATGTACCCAATATCCTAAGACTGATGGTACTGAAACATAGCCATGACTTGTGGTTGGGGGGACACTTTGGGTTCTTAAAAACCCTACATTTAGACAGAAGACAGTTCTGGTGGCCAAAAATGAAAAGTGATGTCGAGGACTATGTGAAAAGCTACTCAATTTGTGCCATGATGAAACACAGAACTGGAAAAACCCCTGGCCTCCTTCAACAACTAGCTGAACCAACAAAACAGTGGGAAGAAATTGTGATGGACTTTATCGTAGAGTTACCAGAGAGTGGAGGAAGTACTGTGATTTGGACTGTTATCGACTTATTCTCTAAGCAAGCCCACTTTATAGCATGTAACAGACTACCTTCAGCTAAGAAACTTGCAAAACTATTAGTGAAGCATATTGATAGGCTCCACAGAGTACCTCATAGGATTTTTGAAGTCCATTGGGTCATCCCAAGGGCTTTCCTCAGCGTTCCATCCTGTGTGCAATGGTGCCGCAGAAAGAGCGAACACCATGGTGAAACAATACATTAGATGCTATGTAAATTATCAACAGGAGAACTGGGAAGAACTATTACCATTTGTAGAAGTTGCTTACAATAATGCAGTATACAGCAGCATACTCTTGACTCCATTCCAAATCCACTCTGGCATGGATTTTGTCTCTATGCCAGAATTATGTAGGGAATCCCCAACATCCATGTCTTTTAACAGAATGGATGGAATCATTAAAGAAAGGTTTGGAGGATATGAAAAAAGCTTTAGCTGAAGCTGCTGAGAAATATAAAAAACAGGCAGACAAACATAGATCCCTCCAACCACCATTTAAAGTAGGGGACAAAGTGTTTTTGTCAACTAAATATCTCAAGTTGAAACTTCCTAGTAGAAAGTTGGGCCCTGAATTCTTGGGTGTATTCCCTATATCTAAGATAATCAATCCAGTGTCAATCCAATTAAGTCTCCCTCAGCTGTTGGGAAAAGTACGCCCAGTGTTCCACAGTAGTTTGTTGAAGCCTGCTGTAGGGTCAAGTCTAAGGCCAATACCAGCAGCACCCCCCAAACCTCTGATTATACAGGGTGAGACACATTATGAAATAAAGAAAATCCTCAATTCTAGATTACACTGAGGACGATTAAAATATTTGGTGCTATGGAAAGGCTACCCTTTGTCAGAAGCTACTTGGGTGAAAAGTTGGGATATACATGCAGATAGATTGGTTAACTAATTCTATGAAAAATTCCCTGACAAGCCAAAGGGTCCCCTTGGAGGGGGGGAGGGGGGTTAAGGGCATTGTGTTCACCCCCGTTTGTGTTTTTCCCTTCCTACTGGATCCCATTCCCACCCCACCAGTCATCATGTTAGCGAGGCCAGTGTCAGCCCTGGCCAGGTCAGGCCAATATTTTGGGGTGGAGAACAGGTCATGCTCCTCCCTGAGCGACCAAGGCACGCCCAGCACCAAGAAGGGCCAGAAGCAGCACCCACAAGATCTATCAAGAGATGAGGCACTGGAGAATCAGCCTCGGACGCTTCTCCATCCCCCGCTGTCACCCTTACCTTCTCAGGCCAGGCAAGGAGTGACGGGAGGGGAGGAGAGAGGAGGGGAGGGGAAAGGGGCAGGGCCAGCCCATGGTGGGATCAGTCAGTTTTTCAAACTGCAGAAGAAGTTTACCAGTTCAGCAGGGAGCCACATCAGAGGGGTCAAAGTGCCACATGTGGCTCCAGAGTCACATGTTGCCAACCCCGGCTTATACAAATACCCTATTCTCTGTGATCTACATAGAGCTACTATGTTTGAGCAGAAAACCCGTCCAGTCAGGACTTGAGTTCTTCTTACCTCAGACCTGTTTTTGCACCTCCAAAAGTCCATAAATAGTTTCTTGCAATTCCTCTTTCCCTGCCTGAAAAACCTGGAGGCAGATGGTACATTGGGGCCACCCCAAAATTCTCAGGACTTTCCTAGGGATGTCCTAGAGATCTGCATGAAAATTAAAGTCTCCAAAAACTTACATTCTTCTCTAGGTGCAGCTCCAGCAAAGAAGCAGTGATATAAGCTGTTAGAGAGAGGTCATCATCCACACCACCCTGTGGACATAGAGAAGAAGCCAGCAAGAGAAGTCACAAGGGCCCTTTTCCTGACACCTTGATTCACATGATTCACCTTTTTTCACAGAGGTATATTTCTACACTACTGCCTCAGATCACATGGTTCCTACCTTCAGGGCATTGTTAAAGAGCCTCCCCACACTTTCAAAGCAGCCACTGGAAAGTTGATGTTTCCTCAACCAGTCCACAGCATTCTGAATATGCCTTTCATCCACATAGATGTAGCACTTTGCCTGGCCAAAAGCCTTGGCCACAAATGCAGTCAGCCTGGGCAGCAGAAAAGAGAGAGGTGGGGAGAGAATACTGAAGAAGTAGCAGCACCTTCAACTTCTCCATAGTCACCTGCTCATGATCTTGCAGCTGCCATCTGGTCACCTGAGAGTTATGACAAATAGCCAGAGAAAAGTAGATGAATGATAGTAGATGGATGAAAGGGCAGGCCCAGAAAGTGTCCTCCTAATAATATTGGGCGGGCGGGGGGGGGGGAGATCGTGCTGCTTCTGTTTGAGGAAGGCATAGTAGCCTGCTGGCAACTCCAAAAGTATTTCCTCCTGTCATTTGGTGAATTTATGGGAGAGAACATTCTGAGAAAAATGGCTGTTCTGCTCAAGTCCATCATCATGTTTATAAAGCAGCTGCCGCTGATATCCTGCAGAATAAGGAAGAAAGAATGCTCTCAGGTCTATCTTGATCCTATGTGACTCTGCTGGCGCTCTTCAATTTCAATCCAAAAGCATCATCTTCAGACATAAAAATAACTTCCCAGATGTAAAAATGCAGAAAGCATTTAACATTCACTAAAAATGACTGGTATAAGGAGGGATGGTCATGGGATGGCAGGTTAGGTCCTGACTTAATCTGGTCCCTGGATGCCACCTGGTACTTGCAAAGCCTGGCCTCCCCCAGAAGACCTTCCAAATAAGAGACAGACCCAACTCACCACTCTTCATGTGCTCTATTGCCTGATTCCTTAATTCTGGAGTCACCTGATTGGTTTCTTCCAAGTATTGGAGTACAACGATGTTGGGAACAAACTTGACCATATTCTGCTCACCACAGCCAAAGGGCATCTGAAGCAGTTGGTCTATATTTTCTAGCGCAGCTCCCATAATGTCTCCTGAATATAACAAAATAGAAGGAGCAAATATGAAAGATCTGCCTTCCTTCAAATCCAGAAAACTTTTCTCTTCCTCCTAGAGATTGAAACACTACATTCAGGAAAGTTCTTGCAAACTGAATTGTAAAACAATTGGCCAGGCAGGCATGGGCCCAATACATGACATCATGGAGCACTTGCTGAGATGCTATTCCTCAGTAAGCCAGCCCATGGCAGATGCATGGCTAGGATGCTTTTAAAACCTGTCTTTGTCTGGCAATCAAGGCTGCCCAACTTTCACCTGCATAGGAGAGTACAATGCACATGCAGCATTCCGTTTTCAATGCTCCTCCTTTCAAATATCTACAAAACATGTGATGGTCAAGCACTAAGCCTGCTGCCATGTCTGCTCTCTCTTTGCAAAAGAAGACATCTTTCTCACCAATGACAGATACAATGGCCCGCCCAGAATCCTGCACAACTGCTTCTGGCATTGTTAGGAAAACTTCTTCAGATGCTGGTTCTCCTGGAGGGAGTACATGTGTGAATAAAAATGCAGAATTAGAATAGCTACAAAAATGTAGTTGTGATAAATTTCACTGCATACAACATTTTGCAAGCACTCAGAACATTTCTTTTCTATCAAACAAGTGGTTGGTTGTGCAGGACAGAATCATCTCATTTTTCCAATAGGAACCTGAGCATGAGAGGTAGCACTTATAGCTGGCCTGCATAAAGACCGGAGCAGGAAGAACACACATTTCTGAAGTTCTCCCAGCTAAAGAACACACTGCCTTTCCCCGTAGCTCCTTCCAGCTGTCCTATATCAGGTAGACATATCATTGTGTTGCCTTCTTATAGAAGAGCTGGTTCTCGGAGAAACAGGCTGATCTTCTCTGTGGACTCACCACAAATACAGTAACACTAAACAAGAGATGTAACACTAAACAAGAGATGAAGAGCATAGGAAAGTGTTCTGGGCTTTTTCTTCAAGGACACCTTCTGGCTGTGGAAAGAAAAACGAATTATGGGTTATTTGATGGTGTGTTTTTGGAGAACTTTCTTAATGCCAAGCCTGTGACTGGGCAACGAAGAGCAGCCATGAACCTGGATGTAGCCTTGAAAACACTGCAAGATTCAAAAGTATTGACACTGAAGAAAATAATCCCAGTATCACCCATTTTTACAAAATCATTTCTGGGTTTACAGGAGAAAGAGAAGAAGAATCTGGAGTGAAGTCAAGAGGAAGAGCCTAGAGCAGACCTGGGCAATTTACAGCTTCAGGCCACATCTGTAAATAAGTGTATCTCAGGGAGTGGGAGAAAACCCCTAGGTTGGTTCAGCTCTGTAGAATCGCCGTGTGCTCTATCAGTTAGCTGGTGGCCATGGGAGGACAAGAAGAGAAAATACTTTTCTTCATCTGTGCAGTGCTCACCCCTCACCTGGAGCAGCCTGTCTTAGGCCCGGTACTCTTCAATATCTTCATAAACAACTTAGATGAGGGAATAGAAGAGGAATGCACTCATTTTCCACCTTTAATCCCATTGTTGGTATGTTAAAATCTTAAGATGGCAAATCTTCATAAAAGACTTAGATGAGGAAATAGAAGGGGAACTTACCAAATTTGCAGATGATACTAAGCTGGAAGGAATAGCTAATGCCTAAAAGATAGTCTCATGATCCAGATGGATCTTGACAGACTTGAACACTGGGCCCTATCTAACAAAATGAAATTCAATGTAGAGAAAAGTGAAGTCCTACACTTGGGCAAGAAAAACCAAAAGTACACATATAGACTGGGTGAAACCAGGCTTAATAACAGTAACTATGAGAGGGAACTTGGAGTCTTAGTGGACAACCAGCTAAATATGAGCCAGCAGTGTGCAGCGGCAGCCAAAAAAGTCAATGCAATCATATGTTTGATAATGGATGGAAACTGAACAAGGAGAGATTTAACCTGGAAATAAGGATACATTTTCTGACAGTGAGAACAATCAGCCAATGGAACAGTTTGCCTTTGGAAGTTGTGAGAGCTTCATCATTTGAGACTTTCAAGAAGAGATTGGACTGTCATCTGTCAGAAATGGTGTAGGGTCTCCTGCTTGGCTGAGGGGGAGGTTGGACTAGATGACCTACAAGGTCCCTTCCAACTCTGTTAATCTGAATAACGTGAGGGGACCTCGGCTTGGCCACCCACCATCACCTCAGTTGAAGCAGAACTTTGTGGGTGAATGGGTAGACCATAGTCTGGAGCTATTGGTTTGGCCCTCCACAACAGTCCCAAGTTAATTGCCCATCCTGGCCAAGAGTCTTTACATAGCCACAAAATGATTTAAGTCTAACCTTTCTTGAATTCTGCTGACTCTTAACTTACACAAAGATAATGCTAAGCGTTAAGTTGATTACTGAGCATAGGCGTGTTAGTAATGAATAAGTTTAATTGGAACTTCACGTATGGTTCTCATCTTTTATCCCCTTTGTGATATTGATTGGTGCTTGAACTAGAGTTTGATTGATGTCTTCACTGACCTTGACAAGTAAAGATTTGATAACTGTGTCTGACTGGCCATGCGTGGGAGTGACAGAGATCTTGTTGCCACACAATGCTTGGGTCTCCTCAGCCTCACTTCTTACTGAGATGTTCACATGCCCTACAAGAAGACAAAAGCAATACAGAACAACTAGTTCCAGACTTTCAGACATCAGTTTAGTGTGAACAACAATGGCTGCTTCCTTTTTGTCCAAAACCCATTCTACAATTTACTACCACCATTAATAGATACTGCAAATACAATGCCAAGGTCACCTCTGCATCTGCCCATCAATGGAGTTGGATACAGATCTGAGTGCAAAGGGGCTGAATGACTCTTTTTTAAAAAAAAAACAATTTTATTGATTTTTAAAACAAACAAAACATAAAAGCATCAGTTCTCTTCCATACATATATACAAACAGTGTGTCGGTTGGTTCATCAGTTTTGTGCATTCATTTCGTAGTCTCAATTATAGTTACATTACATAATAACTCATATTATCAATCTAAACCTATGTATCCTAGTATCACTATTAGAAAATTATTTGACTATAATTTTATTCATACTTTATGAGATAACTATAATTTAGGTAGTTTATTCTATAGCAAATCATATAATCATACCAAATCTATCCTAGAAACACTTTATAAATATGATAACAAAAGAAAAAGAAAAAGCAAAGATATTCCTTATTATCTAACATTCTAAATATTCTATTTTATCATCCAACCATTGATAGAAAAGGTCCCAAATTTTATAGAATTGTTTATCCTCTTGCTCTCTAATTTCAAATGTCAATCTACTCATCTCAGCACATTCCAATATTTTCTTAATAATTTCTTCCTGCAATGGAATTTTCTCATTTTTCCAATTTTTTGCAAATACAATCCTAGCCGCTGTTAATACATTTACAATCAGATATTTCAAGTCTTTACTGTATGTATCTGGTAAGATTCCCAATAAAAAAAAACTCCGGTTTCAAATCTAAGTGTTTCTTTGTCATTTTTTCCAACCATATGCGGATTTTAGTCCAATATTTTCTAGCATCCTCACAGGTCCACTACATATGGCAGTATGAGCCAGGTATCTGATGACATTTCCAGCATTTTTCAGATTTATTCTTGAACATTCTTGCTGTCCTTGTCGGGGGAAAATGCCACCTGTAAAACATCTTATACAGATTTTCTTTATAAGCTGTTGACATTGTCATTTTATAATTTTGCAACCATAGTTTTTGCCATTTCTCTAAATCAATCCCATATCCAAAATTCTTCCCCCAAACAATCATAGTTTCTTTAACTTGTTCTTCCTCTAGCTTAATTCCCAGTAAATAACCATATAATTTTTTAATCACCTTTTCATCAGTACCTGTCAAAATCTTATCTAAATCCGTCTGTTTATCATAAAATCCCTCTGTTTTAGAATCTTCATCACAACTTGAGTGTATTTGCACATATGAAAACCAATTCATCTTTATACCTTGTTCCTCTAGATTTTGTATCAATTTAAGTTCACCCTTTTCATCCAATAGTTCCCCATATCTAACTGTTCGTTCCTTCTTATAAATTATAGGATAAAAAAATGCTTCAATAGTCGATAACCAAACTGGAATTTTCAAATAACATTGTCTTTTTATCTTCTCCCAGTTTAACCACAAAGACTCCTGTATATAATGTCTTCTAAAGTAACCCTGTGTTTTAGTTCCCTTATACCATAAAAAGGCGTGCCAACCCAACAGCAAATCATGACCTTCTAGTGTCAACAATCTAGGCTTTCTTAGTGTTATCCATTCCTTGACCCACATCAAATTTGCAGCTTGATAGTACAACTCCCAATTAGGCAGGCCAAAACCTCCTCTAATTCTAGCATCTTGCAAAAGCTTTAGCTTTATTCTCGCTTTCTTACCTTGCCATATATACTTCAGCACAATTTTATTTAAGTCTTCAAAATAGTCTTTTCTGAGCCTAATTGGTATTGTTTGAAACAAATATAAGATTCTGGGTAAAATATTCATCTTGATTGTTGAAATTCTCCCTATTAATGACAATTGTAAGTTTTCCCATTTTTTCAAATCTAAGGCTATCTGTTGTTTAAGTTTAACATAATTATTCTCTTTTAATGTACTACATCTTGATGTCAAGTATATCCCCAAATACTTGATCTTGTTCATGACTTGGATTTTCGACAGGTCTGCCAGTTCTTCTCTTTGTCTTAGTAGCATGTTCTTTGTCAAAATCTTTGTTTTATCTTTATTTATTTTCAGACCAGCCACCTCGCCATATGTCTCTATCTTTTCCAATAGCTTTGGAGCTGTTTCTAAAGGGTCTTCCAAAAAAAAGGCTAAGTCATCCGCAAAGGCTTGCAATTTGAATTCTTCCTTTTTAATTTTCATTCCTTTTATGCTTTTATCATCTATAATATTTCTATTCAACACTTCCAAGGTCAATACAAATAGCAAGGGAGAAAGGGGACATCCTTGTCTTGTGCCTTTTCTTATATTAATAAAGTCTGTAAGTTCTCCCTCCATCATTACCTTTGCCGTTTGTTTATGATATGTGTCTTCTATTGCTTGAATAAATTTTCTGGCAAAACCCATCTGTTCCAGTAGTAGTAACATAAATCTCCAGTTCACATTATCAAATGCCTTTTGAGCATCTAGGAATATCAAAGCCATTTGCTTTTCAGGATGTGCCTCATAGTATTCCAAAGTATCCAGGATTACTCTCATATTGTCTCTAATTTGTCTCTTTGGCAGAAATCCATTTTGGTCTGGATGAATGAAATTATTTAAATATTTTTTAAGTCTTTCTGCTAAAATTGAAGCAAAGATTTTATAGTCTGCATTTAATAAAGAAATAGGTCTATAGTTCTTAATTTGCAGTGGATCAGCCTCTTCTTTTAGAATAAGTGTAATATAAGCCTCTGACCATGTTTTAGGTATCATCTTCTTTGACATAGCTTCATTCATGACTTCTAACAATGGAATGCTCAGTGATTCTTGTAATGTTTTATAAAATTCTGCTGGAAGCCCATCTGGACCTGGTGTTTTCCCATTATTTTGTTTCTTAAGTGCTTCAGTTAATTCCATCATTGTTATATTACTTTCTAGCATTTCTTCAGTCTCTTTAGATATCTTGGGTAGGTTAGCATTCTGTAAATACTGTTTGACTTTTTCTTCATCAATATTCTCTTGCTTGTATAGTTGCCCATAGAAGTCTCGAATAATTTCCTTTTTCTCCTTATTACCATGACAAACTTGGCCTTGGTCATCTATTAACTGCAATATTTTCCTTGATTCTTTCTCCTTTCTCAATTTATATGCTAGCCATCTACCTGGTTTATTTGCATCTTCAAAATAATTCTGTTTAGCATTTCTAATTTTCTGTGCCAGTTCTTCTTTCTCTATTAAACCCTTTTTATGTTTAGTTATGTCCAATTTCAATTTGATATCTTTTTTTCTGTGGCATTTTCTGTAATTCTTTTTCAAGTCTTTTATACTTGTCTTCCAAGGCTTTAGTGGCTTGCCTTTTCCTGATATTCTTTTTTCTTATGTAATCTATTATCAAACCTCTGGCATATGCCTTCATTGTATCCCAAACATTCTGTATTGAAGTATCTTCTTTTTTATTTTCTCTAAAGAAAAAAGCCAATTCTTTCTCAATCCATTGCATAAAATATTTTTCCTTTAAGATAGTATTATTTAGCGTCCATCTCGATCTTTTTTTTTTGTCCCTTCCATTTAATTGTCATTGGGTTATGGTCTGCCCAAGTACTTGTTTCAATGTTTGTTTCTTGAATATTAGGTATTAATTCTGTTGAGATCCAAATCATATCTAATCTGGACCATGATAAATGTCTATTTGAATAGAAAGTGTATTGTTTAGTTTTAGCATTTCTTTCTCTCCATATATCCTTTAAGGTTAATTCGTCTGTCATTTTAAAAAAGGATTTAGGGAGAATCTTTCTATTTTGCTTTGTTATTGTTGCTATATAGTCCAGTTTATTATCCACAATTCCATTAAAGTCTCCCATCATAATTATATTGGCATAGTCCAGTCCAGTTATTTTCATGTGTAGTTTTTTATAGAATTCTTCTTGTTTATCATTCGGAGCATAAATTGCAATCAAGAGTATTTTATATTGTTGTCCATTATTTCCACCATTAATACTCTTCCATCTTCATCAGTATAAATCAATTTTGCTGGGGTAGCCTCTTTGATGTATAAAACCACTCCTCTTTTCTTACACTGAGTCAAAGAAGAAAATATTTTCCCTAATTTTGGCTGTACTAACAATTGTTCATGTTGTTTTTTAATGTGTACTTCTTGTAAACAAATTATATCAAACTTTAATTTCTCTAATTTATGAAAAAATTTCCTTTTTTTAAGGGCTGAATTAAGTCCATTCATTGTAATCAGTTTTTTCTCTTCCATGATTATATTTTGTGGTTAGGTTTGACAGCTCTCATAGATCTTGGTTCACGTTATTCTTTGATATCCACCTGTCCACCTACTGCGCCTTCTTCTTTTTCAGTCCCCATTTGTTCCTCTTGGAATTCAATTGATGAGACCTCTTTCTCTGCCTCTTCCTCTCTCCTTCCGAAAAATTCTGCATAGAAAAGTTCTGCTTTCTCAATTGAATCAATTCTATGTCTCTGTTCTTGCCATGTAAACATTAGTCCTTCTGGGATCAGCCATCTATAATTCACCTCCTTTTTCAATAGCATTTTGGTCAAGAATCGATATTCTCTTCTCATCTCTCTCACTCTTCTGGGTATTTGTTTTAAAACCACGATCTCTTTGCCTTTGTATTTCAACGTCTTCTCTCTTACCGCTTGTAATATTTGTGTTTTGATGGATTTTTTGGTAAATCTGATGTGAACTTCTCTTGGTAAGTTGTTTCTCATCGCATATCTTGTGAAAACTCGGTATACCTCATCTACTCCATCCATCATCTTTTCCTCTGTTATTTCCAAAGCATCAGCCAAAATTTCTATCATTGTTGCAGCCAAATTTTGTCCTTTTTCTTCCTCTATATTTTGAAATCTGAGATAAAATTCTGACCTCTCCATCTCCCACTTCAGCATCCCACTTTTGTCTTGCTCAACCACTGTTAGTCTGCTGTCAATATTTCCAATCTTCTCCTCTCTTTGTTTACCTTCTTCTTCGATTTTTTTGGAATCTTTCATCATACTTCACCATCATTTGTTGAATATTTTCCACTTTTTCATCAGTCTTCTCTATTCTTTGTTCAATAGTATCTGATTTTATCTTGAGATCTTGGATTCCTTGAATAATTATCTGTAAAGTCACTTTTTCTTGTTCTTTATCTTGCTTTAACATTGTCTGGATTAAACGTTGTCCTCCAGATGGTGGGGAGGCCAAATTAGAGGTAGAGACGACAGAAGGTATAAGTTTCCTACCCATTTTAAATGATTCAAGACCTTCAAATTCTTTTTAGGCTTTAATCCAGTTGGTAAGGTAGCCAATTATAATCCAGAATGGAAAAGCCAATAGTAAAAAGCCCGATGGTAAAAAGGAAAAAAGAAAAAGAGAAAAAGAGAATTCTTCAGGTTCTTCTGGACCCTAATCCAATTATGAAATAATCCACAATAAAAGATAAAAATAAAAAGAAGAAAAAAGCCCAATGATAATAAAAAATAAAAAAGAACAAAAGAAAAGAAAAGTTTCTTCAGGTTCTTCACACCTTAATCCAGTTAAGAAATCTCAATAGTAGTAAAAAAAGCCAAAATAATCCAACAGCATAGATGGAAAAAGCAAAGATCCCAGTGGAAAAGGGGAAAAAAAGGAAAGGAGAAAAATTCTGAGGCTTTCCCTTTAAAATAAAAAGCAAACATAGAAATATTGCTAAAATTAGAGTTTACAGAAAAGCTGGTAAGGAGGGGTAACACAACTGAAAGAAAATAAGAAAACACACTGCACTTTATTTAATTGTCCAAGGCTCTTATTATGACTCTCTTCTCCACAAGCTTCAAAGCCAAGCCTCAAGTGCTAAGTTGTTGATAGAAGTCCAGAAGAACACCTGTAATAATATTCTGCCGCACTCTTCCCTCTATCTTATCAAGTTGAAATGTCCTTGAGAAGGAGTCTTTCACAGTTCTCTCCACTTCAAATAAAATATTTTCAAGCCTCTAGTTGGCAGTGTTACAAAATTTCTTAATTCTCACTTTCCCCCTCCTCCCAGAAAAACGTAATTTAGGTTAAAAAAAAAAGAGAAAATATATACATGTATATATATATTAAAAAATGTAACCAAAGGGAGCCTCTAGTCTAAAAAAAAATTAAGAAATCAAGAAGGAGAATAAAAAAGTAAATGTATATAAAAAATATAATTCAATCCGGTTAACTGTTAAGTAGCAATAAAGTCCAGAAAAAAAACAGTAAGGGAAAAAAACCCAAGCCTCACTTTGACGTCTCCCTTTAAAAATCGCCGCTTATTCCATTTTGTCAAAAAATCTCACAGATTTCTTCTTATATTCAGAGTGTCCTTTCAAGTCTCAGAATATTAATTTTAAAAAAAGGATTCTCAGCCAGCCAACACACTTTCTCTTTCAGCCTCTTCCTTTCCGGAGCTGTCCCGACTTCAGCAGCATTGGGGCTGCCTCTCCGCCGCCGGCAAAAAGGACTTCTCCTGGATCAACCAGGGACTTTGTGGTGTCCCTGGGATCCACAGGATGTGCCCTTCACTATCACCATCCCTACGGGACGGTTTAGGTCCGTTTGGACCAGCCAGGGGCGAAGATATCGGCTGCAATCTTAGAGCTCGATTGCAGACCGTACCGTCGTGATGCCAGCTCCTCCCCTCTCTCCAGAGGGGCTGAATGACTCTTGAACAGACAGAGGTATGGGCTATGTTCATGAATCTGTCCTCAGTCCTGGTTCCACTTCAACATTAACAGATGTTTCAACGTGACAAAATGTTAGTTAGAAAGTTAGAAAGCTGACCCCACCCACCTGTCCCACCAAAGTTTCACTGTAACTTCTGCTGAGTGCTCCTGATCTTAAGAACTAAAAGGATGCCAATTCAACACAGTCTTACCCAGCTGGGTAGCTGTCACATTCCAGGAGAAAACCTTGGCTTCCTCAGCACACAAGCAGGTGGTGAACGGGCAGTCAGGACAGGGTTTCACCTCCACTTCCTCAGAGTCTAGCAGGGTTGTTCTCACCTGAATGAGACACGAAGGATGAGACACAAGATGAACTATGCATCTGGGCCTAGCGAAGGGCAACTATTCAGGGGAAGGCACAATGTGGGCACATGAAGGAATACCAGCTGACCAGTGAGAGTGATAGTGCCTGTCCTGCTGAGCTTACATATGCAGGATGGAATAATATGGTTATGTCCAGTAGAACTTCCAGAAAACTACTTTTTGCCAGCTCAAATTGGCAGGAACTCTGGAGAATTTTGCTTTGCAATCCTCTGAAAGTACTTCATCAACTTCATCCCCCACCCCCCCAGTGGTTTGTGGGGAAGAAATTGGGGCTACTAAGAATGTATCCTCTGTCAGACATAGAAAGGAATACAATGCTTCTGTTTGCAGTCTTGGTCTCCATGTCTCAAGCTCACTGTGAATTTCCTCCTCCTAAATTTCGTAAGATTTCTGACTTGTCCTAAATGGGCTCTCACCTGGATACAGTCCTTGAGGAAGTTAAAGACTGTGACCTTTATCCGGAAAGTCTCTCCACGAATCACAGAATATGGCAGAGTCAGATCAGTGAAGAAGGGCTGGAAAACCCTGATTGTGGTTAATTGAGACAGGCCAAAGCCTATGTCTGCCAGACAGAATGCATTTGCGTTCCACTCCATGATTGTGTCCGGAACAGTGACTGAGTGAACTGCTTTCCCTTCCTCGCTGCAAAACAGGAAGATAATTTTAGTGACCAGGTCACACCAGAGCAGGAGGCTCTGTACGCAAAATCAGCTCCAATTGAATCAGAATATAACAGCAGTGGGTCAGATGGACCATGCAAGAAACATAATTTATACTGTCTCTATTTAAAAAAAAATTAAAAAATTAAAATGTAAAGCGCTTACTTATATTATTGTTAATAGGCACAAACAAGGAAAAGAAAATAACCACAGTTATTATATTCCATTCAGAGAGTATCATTCTTCCTAATTATTAAATAGAAGTTCTGACCCGGTGAAAGAACATTTTCATCTGTAGTTTTGCTGTATTGAAATAGTACTATTTTTAACATTAAATAATTATTGTCTTGCTATTAATAAATATATGCATTAAATATAATGATAAATTCAATTTTTAAATTCCAAAAATCCCATTACAATCAAAAATTGAGGATTATTAGTAATTAAAGAGAAACTGGGAGATTATGAGTTCTACCTGAGGCTTGAAACCAACTGGATGTCCATGGCAAGGGTGGGATTCAAATTTTTAAACAACTGGTTCTGTGGGCATGGCTTAGTTGGTGGTCATGGCTTAGTTGGCAGGAGTGGCTTGGTGGTCATGTGACTGGGTGGGCATGGCTAGGTGGTCATGTAACTGGGTGGGCGCGGCTAGGTGGTCATGTGACTGGGTGGGCATGGCCAACTCGACATCACTTCTTTACCCTAATGACTGTTTTAACTATAAAAAAGATATACTAAAACAAAAGGTAGTTTATTTTAAATAAGAATAAAAAAGGTACACAAAACTAGATTTTGTTACAACAAAGTTTTAAAATATTAATCAAAAACTATTACATAATACTTGACAAAAAACAATAAAACTGTTTCTCAACTGCCCTTTGGGTCAAATGCACGGATAAAGGAAAACCAAAACTCTTCGGTGTTTGAAAAACAAAAGTTTTTAATTCCTTCTCGTGCAAGGACACCAAGAACACAGTCAAGCAATGAAAATAAAGTCAGCTCTAAACTGAGTTTAACAGAACCCTGTATTTATAGAGACTTCCCATTATTACCTGGTATTATTTATTACCCCTCATTATCCAATCATAGTCATTGTAGTTAATCCCCATAGTTTAATTAATCCACCATTAGCTATATTCACATCAACATATCCGCAACAAAATGGCTCCCCTTCAGTACACTCTTTGTGTGTACTTTCCAGGATCTTTGCTGGTGCTTCGGGAATTGCCACCCTTCTGGATTGATATCATCATTGGAGCCCTGTTGGTCGCTTGTGTTGCATGGTCGCGACAGTTATTTAAAGTATTGTCAAATTGCTTTTTTATCACTTTCATTTTTCTTTAGTTTTACATGAGCATCATCAGCTGTATGATGTTCTCTCAACCTCTTTTTTACTATAAGAACAGGGTCCCATTCTTGCAGAGATATGCCAATTAGATTAATAGTCAGTAGGTTAGTTATATTGGAAACAGGTGACTTCTGCTTCTGTACATATTATGTTCATTTGTGCTTTCCGCTTCTGCTGAACTGACAGCAATTGTTCTGACAATATTTTTGTTGCGGTTCACCGGCAGCAGGTGCAGATGGCTGAGGGCTCAGAGAGTGAAGACTCAGATGAGGGGCCTATATGTGATGCAGGGAGGGGGCCAGGACCATCAGGGAGTAGAATGCTGCCTTTGGAGATTGTGGAGGTTGGCAGCAGCTATGAAGAGGTCCCCGAGGAGCCTGTGCCCAGCGTGCGTGCGTGCATGGCTGCTCAAAGGAAAGAGCAGCTGCAGTAGCATGGGAGACTCAGGAGTAAGGCTGCAAGATAATGGCCCCTCCCTGAGGAGATAAAAGCCAGCTGAGAAACCGCAGTTCTTTGCAGAAAGCAAAGAAATTTTACACTTGAGCCTGGTGGACGTTAGGAATATCTGAGTTGGTGTTTGGAGACTCTTTGCGTTGGAATTATTGCTTAATAAAGTTATCTGGTATTCTTGGCAGCCTTGCAAAGCCTTGGCAAGGCTCTTTCTTATCAGAGCTAATTGGTTTGAAGCAGCCTTTTACCCATGAAGGAACGGGATTTGAAAAGAAACATTAAAAGGTTGTCTCGTGTTTGCTTCCTTGGACTGTAATCGTTAGCTTTTTTAATACTGTCAGGAATTGCATATTTCTCAGAATCTTTTAAAACATTTTCTATAAAATCTTGATAATCATTAATATTAATTTAGTAATTAAAAATTTCACCAAATGAAAGCAATTGTTCTTTCAGTTGCTTTCCATGGAATCACCACTTTTTCAATATTCCAGTAATCTGGCTACAAAAAATTGAGAAATTTTAATTTATCCATGTCTACCTGTTTTTAAATGTTCACAATCCATTAGTCTTTTCTTCAAATTAGTTATGATGCTTTCTAAAAGTCTTTCCAAAGGAGGTCCAACAGATCGCCGATTTTGTACATATATTTTTGAAGGATTCTGAAGTAATTAATCCATCAACTTTTTTTCATATGCACCCTTTTCCATTCTAAGCATTTCAAATGATTTAATTGATCTTATCACAAGTTTTTCAGCCTTTATGATATTTACATTTCTTGCTTGCAGTGCATTGGAAAGAAGAGAGATTTCATTTAGAATATCATCAATGCCAAATCAGTGATAAAATATATATTTTCAAGACAGGCAGCCATATCTGAGTATTTTTTATTTGAATGGATATAGTGATGTAGCACTGGATAAGCACGCCACACAGCTAGTGTTGACCTTAAACTACAGGCAGCCCATCTTGGTTCAAAAACTCTACCAATTTTTTTTTTGAAAACAATTTTATTGGTTTTTTAACAAACAAACAAAACAGACAAAACATAAAAGCATCAGCTCTCTTCCATACTTATATACAAACAGTGTGTCGGTTGGTTCATCAGTTTTGTGCATTCATTTCGTAGTCTCAATTACAATTATGTTACATAATAACTCTTATTATCAATCCAAACTTATATATCCTCATATCATTATTAAAAAAAAATCATTTGACTATACTTTTATTCATTCATACCTTATGAGATAACTATAATTTAAGTAATTTATTCTATAACAAATCATATAATCATACCAATTCTATCCTAAAAAAAAACACTTTATAGATGTAGTGTCAAGTAGCAAAAGAAAAAAAAACCAATGATATTCCTTATTACCTAACATTCTAAATATTCTATTTTTGTATTTCATCGTCCAACCATTGATAGAAAAGGTCCCAAATTTTATAAAATTGTTTATCTTCTTGCTCTCTAATTTCAAATGTCAATCTACTCATCTCAGCACATTCCAATATTTTCTTAATAATTTCTTCCTGCAATGGAATTTTCTCATTTTTCCAATTTTTTGCAAATACAATCCTAGCCGCAGTTAATACATTTACAATCAAATATTTCAAATCTTTACTGTATACATCTGGTAGGATTCCCAATAAGAAAAGCTCCGGTTTCAAATCTATATGTTTCTTTGTCATTTTTTCCAACCACATGCAGATTTTAGTCCAGTATTTTCTAGCGTCCTCACAAGTCCACCACATATGGTAATATGAACCAGGTGTCTGATGACATTTCCAACATTTTTCTGATTTATTCTTAAACATTCTTGCTATCCTTGTCGGGGGAAAATGCCACCTGTAAAACATCTTATACAGATTTTCTTTATAAGCTGTAGACATTGTCATTTTATAATTTTGCGACCATAATTTCTGCAATTTCTCTAAGTCAATCCCATATCCAAAATTCCTCCCCCAAGCAATCATAGTTTCTTTAACTTGTTCTTCCTCTAGCTTAATTCCCAATAAGTAACCATATAATTTTTTAATCACCTTTTCATCAGTACTATTATAGATCAGGAAATGAGAGGCTAGACCAGAGCATTAACAAGGAATGGCTTTATTCAATAGAATAAAGGGCTGTCGCGTCTGCATACTAACAAGCAGACATGCTCAGCGAACAGCGGCTGGCTCGACCTAGCAGCCGGCTTTTATAGCCGGCTGTCGAAGGGAGCCAGCCAATGGGAGCTGTGAACGCCCCCGTAGTATAGACGGACTTGGTTGGGAACTTTGGTCAGTTCCAAGGACATAACACCCCTTCCCCCCAGATGCGAACATGAATAGTCTTTTAAATATGCAGGTGGTCTGTGCGGGCGCCCGGACTGGCGCAGTTCTGGTGAGTCACTGAGTGGCACAGAGTTCAGAGAATCAGGATTGGTGGGTGCTGGAGAGCGGGGTTGCTCTGGGACCTGCTCAGGTGTCTGTGAATAGTCTCTGCCACCGGGTTGGTTTGTAGTACAGTCATTGTCCAACAACCCGGTGGCATCGCTGGTCGGCAAAGCAGATGTCTCTGGCGGACAGTCCCAGATGGTCCTCGATCGGATTCTGGTGTGGTGACTGGAGATCTACCGGAGTCCATGGTTCAGCATTGGCATGACCACTCTGGCGCTTCCTTATCTGATCCAGATGTCTCCGCCAAACTCGCCCGTCCTCCAGTTGAACTTGGTACGATCTCGGACCGGTGATGGCCACGACTCTCCCGGGTACCCATAGCGGATCGCCGGCGTAGTTCCTGACAAACACTGGGTCCTGCAACACAAAATCTCTGACCCTGCCGTCAGACCCGATAGGAGTGTCAGGGCAATAATGGGGATGCGGCCTGTCTAGCACAGTTCTCAGGCATCTGCCCATTAGGAGCTCGGCAGGAGACTTGTTTGTAACCGTACAGGGGGTCGTGTGTTGGCTCAAGAGAAAACGGGAGAGCCTAGAGTGCCAGTCCTCTTGATTGAATCTGGCCAACGCCTCCTTTGTTGACCTAACGGCTCTCTCTGCCAACCCGTTGCTGGCAGGATGAAAGGGGGCTGTTAAGATGTGCCAGATGCCCAGGTTGGTGACATAGCAGCTGAATTCTGTAGACGTAAATTGGGGGCCATTGTCCGAGACTAGAGTGTCAGGCAGCCCGTGTGTTACA